GTTGAATAAAAAAGGAAAGGAACGTAGATAGAGCATTAGAGACGTTCATTAAATTATATTGACACTAATCCACTTCTTTGGAAGTTTCACTGATAGTACCCAAAGTGTTCAATTTATAGAGGTTTAGGGGTTGTCGCTAAAGAGACACGTTCCAAAATTTAGCATGTTTCACGAAGAAGTACATCTCTTCAGGCCTTTCGCTAATTGCCCAGTTAGACGCTCATGTAGTAGCCAAATGCCCAAGGAATCCGTAATCTCTCAGCCTCTATAGATTGAATAACATTTTTTCATTCATTCGGAATTTGTTTTGAGAATACAAATATATTACGATCATCTACTCGACGAGTAAAACAAGTTTATTTATTCACTTGCGTTATTTGACTATTGAAACTTATACAAATATTTGGCCGAATATGATACAAACTCAACTTTTATTAACTTAACCAAATTCAAGAATTGCCCTTGTCATAATTTTCCTAATGGTTCGATCATGGCCATTTTCAGTATTACATAAAATTTGATTACAAATACACGACAGAACATGTTAGACAAGTAACACAATGACATAATAGTTTAACCAAAGTTATTAACAAATAAGACTCAGACGTGTGCAAAAAATTAGCCATTTTTCCAAATAGTCAGCATAATTATTGCATCATTTTGCTGATGTAACTATTATTATAAAGAATTAAGCTAGTTGTACATCTCCATGTACAATTAGTTTAACATTCTTTGAGATGTCAAAATGGACTTCATTGATTTGAATAAGTGTTCAAATTAATGGTACAATTGTGTATTATGTCAAAGGGAGCAAACAAAACTGTCAATCGTAATATAAGTTTAGCAAAACTGACAAAAGGGAAGTTATATTAAAAAAAAAAAAGGGAAAATGAGAAATATTATCGTTAACAAGTTAGTAACTTCGTGTGATTATTTATTCATTTATTTATTCTTTGGAAAAGGAAGCATTTGATGGTTTGCATTTAGAAAATTAAATGGTCTAGGGGGGCAAGGGTTTCCCTAAGCACTAATATTTACTTTTTAACACTAAATTCAAGCTTTGAGTTTACACCTTTCTTCTTGCCGTCTTTCTAGCATTATGCTATTTGTACAAAGTGTATTTATAAATTTGATTGACATAATAAGTATTAACAAAATTTAGGCCATTGATTTTCAATTATTTAAAAATTTGTTTTTGAAATGATTGGTATAGATATTACCTTATTAATTAACTTTGTACACATAGCATAACTCATCTTTCTATGATGATGATGTCACTTGTTACGGTTTCACTGTCATGGTAATTATTTACCTCTATATTACAAAGTGTGGCGTAAAATTACTTTACGCTAAAAGTTTTACCCGGGAAAAAAGTTTGAACTTGAATGTGCCAGTCAAGTACTGATGTCAAAATGGATCGGTCTTGATTCAAGGAAAGAGATTTGAAGTAGTAGTTTAAATTTTTTATACATAAAATGGCCCTAAGAATCCGTTTGTTACACAAAATCTTGCAAAAGACCTTCGTTACGCCCCTCTTTAGAAAGAGATTTGAAGCAGTAGTTTACACTTTCTCATGATTTTGTTGTATGTTTGGCTGGAGTTAAAAAAAAAAAAACGTTTATTTTTAAATAAATTCTACATTCCTACTCACTTGGTCCATGCACATTGTTCTTTTCAGATAGGTGCCCGTACGTCCTAGATCTTTCCATTTTCAAGAAGATTTTTAATGTTAAAAAAATAAACAAACAAACTTTTTAAACTGAATTATACTTTTAAAAGATAATGTTTTTTATTTGTCCTTTAAAAGTAAGAGAAGTGAAATATTTAAAGTTGTCACTAGAGGTTAACTAAAATTAACTTTTCTTCTTTCAGGCTTAGCCAACACGCTTTTCTCCAAAAATAAGTTACTAGCATATTACAGTTTAATAGATAAGAGGAAAAATTAGAGTTGATTCTCCAATATTTCATGTGATATAGTTATGGATCCACGGCTTATTTAGATATTTAAATTTGAGTTCTCATATGATCAAACCTATCGACATGGATGTTAAAATCGCACATTGTTGTTACTTTATTTGGAAAGAAATATTATGTAATTTGATAGATTTGTCCTCCTATCTGCGTGCAATTTTAATATTTATATTGATGATTTCGATCACGTGGGGACTCAAATTTATAGGTTTAAATAAACCGAATGATTCAGAACTTTAATTTTAAAAGGGTCCGACTCGCATGTGTTAAGCATGTCGTTAGCATTCATCCTGAACCAGATTGAATTGAGACTTATAACACACCGCCTAAAATGTGCACAAGTCCAAAATCCTTTAATTGAACTAAAATTATGCTATATTTTAAGTAAACATACACCACTAGTGTTATCTTGTTACATGTTTCATCCACATGTCAATAATTTGAAGGAATTGTGATTAGGCTGGGCAGGGTTCGGTATAGCCCATAAATTTTAGTTCTCCCGAATCGAACCCAACCCAACCCATAATTTTTGGGCATTTAGTAATCGAACCAAATCCAATCCAAAATTTTCGAGTATTTAGTAAGTGAAACCGTTGGATCAAAATTTAATTATGGAACCATTCGGGTTCGGTTCCCAAATTCTATATTATAATTAAATTTTTTAATATTTACAAAGTTACATTAATTCAACTAATGATATATTTAATCTTAGCTCTTACAAAATAATATAATCAAATCTTATGTTTTTTTTACGTCTCTCTTTGCTGAGTTTTTCATAAATTTGATTTTTAAAATCACATAAAGATAATGAGCTCAAAATAATTAAAAGATGTGTTGTCGAACTTCAACTCGATTTCTCCATAACGGTAGAAACGTCACTACGATAGAGTAACAGATTTGGATAAGATTTAGGTCAATTTGATTAAATTGGCTTTGAATTGAAAATTAGAAATAGGAAAATCATATTTTTGGGAATAAGCTAAATTAACTAGTTAGCAAATTTATATAAAAAAAATAAAATAATTTGATTTATTTAAAATAAATTAATTAAAAAATTAGGCAGATTCGATTCTTTGGTTCTTGATCTAGAACCGAGAATCGAACCGAACCTACCTGTTCTCAATTCAGATACTCATTCGAGTATTTAATTTAAGAAGAACCGTTCGATTCGATTCGGGAGTTTTATCCAACCCTAATTGTGATGCACTTTATTATTTTTTGAATTACCTTATTTATTTATTTAAAAGAAATTAATCCTGCCCCTCTTATCAAGATTTGTGGCTCTACCTTAACGAACTTTATTATTTTTTGAATTGCCTTAATTATTTATTTTTAAAAATTTTAATCCCGCCCCACTTATCAAGATTTGTGGCACTACCTTAACGGTACCACGTCACATGTAGATGTATTTGGCTTCTCTTCCTCCTCAACATTCGTCAATATTTTTAGAATTTTACGTATTCAAAATTATTTTAGTTGATTTACGTAAGAAGTAATATTATTTACATTTCTCATATAAAATCCACTATCTAATTATGCAATATGAACATAAAAAGACTTGTTTTCTATAATGTTTTAAATGAGTAACCAAAAAAAAAAAAACATAAAACTTAGAAAAAAATATTTATTCCTCATTTCAAAGTTTTGTAAAAGAATATTTAAATTGAAATCACCATCTGGGACAAGATATATATGCTCCTTAATTAAAAGTTTAGAACGAGAATGCACGAGAAAAATTGAGGACAAAAGGGTGAAAATAAATAAAGTCTAGAGACCTTGATTGTTATTACAATAAAGTGTAACAAACAAAAAATTATGGTTTGACAATCTAGTTACTCAATTAATAATTATTTTTATGAAAAAACTATAATGGCCTTACCTTTAGTTAAATAAATAAGGAAAGAAAAGAAGACAAGACAAAATAATGGTACCTAGCACATGCAACCAATCCGTAATATGGATTATACAAAAATTGTTGTCTCTTACATAGACATTGTAAAGAGCATATAAAGATAACCCATGGAGATATGGTAACATATTTTATTTGTGGGTTGCGAGTCAAGATAATTAATTTTAGAGAAAATTGCAAGTTAAATCCCCAAACTTTGACCAAAGTAACGATTTGTACCATCACTTTTTTGTCTGGCATTGTCCTCAACTTTAACTAAATTTGCCAACTGTGTCTCATATACAGTTTCCATCCAAAAATCAACCAAAAAAATGAAAAATACTCAAAATAATAAGCAAAAGAATAATCAAAAGACCAAAATAAATGGTAAGAACAGAGAACGATATTTTACTGGATCAGTAACATGTATTCGAGTCTTGTTTGCGGAAAATTATGAAATTTTAGAAAGAAGATAATAAGGACCCCAAAAAAAAAAAAAAAAAAAAAAAAAAAAAAACTTCCCCCCCCCCCCCAAAAATAAAAATTTTTAAAAAAAAAAAAAAAAAACCCCAAAAAAAAAAAAAAAAAAAAAAAAAAAAAAAAAATCTCTCCTACCCCACCACCAAATGAACTGGAAGAAACCAAGGAGGTTAAAATAATAAATAATGCCAGAGCAACAAAATTTTTGTCGACCTGTAAGCGAAGGAAAAAGAACAAAAGGTAGCCCTTTTTGAGTAGCATAGCTGAAAGAAAAAAGTAAAAAATGCAGGCAAAGGAAAATGCATGTGGATTCAAGTGTTTGCTTGAATACGATGTTGCTGTCAATCCAAAGTGCATTAGTTCTTCTTTAGGCCTCATTCTAAAATCTCATTTTTAATTATACATTCTTCAAATAAAATAATTTTATAAGTGAATTCAAAAAATTTCCCCTTAATAACCACACATTAAAAAATAAATAAAACAAGATCTAACACGACTCGTCCCGAATCACCATAATGGATTCGACACGTGTCGTGCGCCGATGGTAGATACCAGGTAAACGCCAAACCCACCACCAAGGCAACTTGACTTGCTTGACTGAAGAATATTTTTAACAAAATTTTGACAGAATTCTCCTTGAAGTATGAACTAAAACCACTGAACAACAACTAATTTTCCTCAAATCAATACCTATAATATAAATAGGATACGCTAGTCCCTCAAAATACAAACTATTCGAATAAAATGTCGGCAAATCAACATTTCCTTTCTTTACAACCAACAATTCTCAAATATACTAAAAACGCCAAATATGCAGTGAATCCATGATAACTTTTTCTGACATAAATTACATATAACCCAAAGAAACATGTACTACATAGTCTGGTAAAGTAGGCCATACAACTTATGACGCGTGGCTCAATATGGCGGAAGGACAAGCTCCAAAGCTGCTCAATTCAGCTGCTATCTGATAAGGAAAAAGGTGAAAAAACACATGAGCTTATAGATCAGTGAGTGGATAATTTGTGAATAAATATACTTTTTCCATTTCTACATATTTTCTGAAAATTCTAGCTTTATTAAATCTTTGAGAAATTCTGAAATCTGATAACACTTTTAAAACTAAAACATGATTGCATCATAAAATTCTTTGTTCTTAATTCTAGATAAGTAGCTGTAAAGTTAACGAATAATCTGATATTCATGAAAATCTATGAAATATTGCTATTAGTCAATACTATAGGCTGAAAGCTTTACTCTGAAAACTGAATTAACTGAATTCTATAATCTGAAATATGATAAATTGTATAATACTGAAAAATTATACCAAAAAGGTATCCGGAATAACTATACTCATGTATCGGTTAGCACCGATAGACATGGCAAAGTTATTCAATTCTGCAATTCTGTAATTCTACTCATACGCGCGCAAAGCTGAAATTCTGTAATTCTGGTCATACACTATGGAAACACATTCACAATAGTGTAGAGCGGGTAAAATCACCAGAAATGGTCATACACTGTGGAAGCACATTTGCACCACTGCAGAGTTAATAACCATATGAAGTCATACACTGTAGAAACACATTCACACAAGTGCAGACTAGGGTACAGTCACCTGGATACTTTCTGATAGTTTTAAAATAACTTTAAATATACTGAAATATTTAATATTCATATAACATGCTAATCAAATAATTTAAATGAACTGAATCAAACATTAAAAAGAACAACTGATTATAAATCCACTTTATTCTGAAAATCATGCTGTAAAATCAAGTGTATGAAATAATAATTTTTCTGAACTAATATAAATTTTATAAATACTAATTTCTGAAAAATAAGTTTATATCCACTCACAAAGTTATAGTCGATCGTGGTTTCGATATTCTCGTCGCCTCATCACTTTCAAATTCCAAGTATGATATTATGCTCTCGCTATAATAAATCATATCCCTTCACAAGCATTCCTTGAGTATTTTCCTACCATTAGAAATAATAATTTACTAATGAAAACTTCACATATTTTATTTTCAATCTCATAATCCCATTTAGAGTCATTAACAACATATACTTCTTTATATAAATTATTTTAATACTAAAACGTTAAATATTTGACACTTAATTTGGTTCCAATACTAAAAGTCCACCAAAATTAGATGATTGGCAAAACTAGCACTATAATTCCAGAATATTGAAAACTGGCACCAATTTCTGTTTATTAAAATTGTTAGCAAAGACATTGACAGAAATAGCACCTTTCTGGGCAGAATTTCAAAACTAGCACCTGTTTTGCAAAAAAATCAAAAATTGCTAAAAAAAAAAAAAAAATGGAGAATTTCGACCTCAAATCCTTAATTTAAGTTTTTTAGCATCACATAATTCCAAGAATTTCAAATAATATGCCTTTATATCACAAACCCATTTCCAAAGTTTCCACTTTCTTCAACACTAATTTCCAAACACATATTTCTTTGACATATACTTATTTTAATCATCAAATACATATCAATAACACATAATTCTTGCTAGACTTTGAATTAAAGCAAGTTTTCCATAACCCTTAAAAATTTAATTCAATAAATTTATACTTACCATTCTAAACCAAATGAGAAATTGAAGAATTTGAGAACCCTAGCTTGAAAATTCTTCTCCTCTTCTTCTTCTTCTTCTTCTTCTTCTTCTTCTTCCTCCTCCTCCTCCTCCTCCTCCTCTCGGTCTCTCTCGATTCTTCTCTCTCTCTTTCCCCAAAATATATGAGAAAATACTTAAAATAAATGCTATTTAATGGGTAAATATTAAATAATTGCAAGGAAAGTCCACCATCTTCAGACAATATCACATTTAGTCATTTCTTTTCCCATAATAGAAATTAAATCCTTAGATTCCTTTATTATATCATTCCTAACCTTCAATTACTCGAAATTTTAATTTAAGTCCCATAAAAGTTATTTGTTCAACTTAAGTCCTTAATAACTTTGACTAAAAAAATGAGGGGTGTGACAAGATCGCTATTCAAAGTCTATTTTACCCAAAAGGGAAGCGGCTAAAACAAATTTTTAGTTGCCAAGAAGGGGGAAAAAGCATTTCTTCGTGTGAGTTTGAGCTTATGGTGGTGGTCTGTTTTATTTTTACGTGTATTTCTATTTTTGATAGGATGGGCTTGAGAGTTAGGTAGGATTTTTGCTTATTAATCTTCTGCTTATTGTTATCCTCGAATTTGATGATACTCTCATGTCAACATTCTTTTTATTCGTGTATACTTTTCTTGCACAATTAAGTCCTTATTTGAGCTTCATTTTGAAATAGTGTTTTGCAAATTATTTTTTACACTAATAATAGTTTCTCCTCCATGGGGATAATCTTTCCTAAATATTATGCAACAACGTCTAATATAAATATGTTAATTTTGTCCAAATATTCTATTGCATGTTTTAAAATGAGGATATTCCATCACACTTATGCATTTGTTATTTTTTTTAATTATTTACAAATATGATGACAAATAAATCTCTTTACGTCATTCCTGTGGATTTTTTGGACATAATTCATCATATTGAACAAGATATGATAATTAGTTGAAGTTTGAGGATAAAAATGTGACAGAAAAAGTTAGACATAAGTGCACTAATTTAAAAAGGTTTGTGGCCTTTAGTGTAGTTAAAAAGTACTGTAACTAATAAAATTATGGTATCGATATAACTAATCTTTTATATATTGTAAGATTTCATTGTTAGCTTCGACGTCAATGATATGTATAGTGGCTCAATTGAGAGATTGGTTCGTCACACTACTAAACTTAAGTAGTTTTAAAGCTGACCCAACCATGCTCTTAATCTAGATTTGTGCAAGCAGATATTTTCTATTTATGAGTTGTGAATAGTTCTCAGTATTCCAAGCTTAACTCTGATTTGGCTTTTGGCATTTAAATTTAAATAAGGCTACCCAAATAAAATTGAATTAAAAATGTTGTTAGTTTCAGGAATTAAAGAACAACTAGAAAACCAATTTCATAAATCAATCACAAATCAGTAAGTATAAATGGATCTATATTTATTGCTTGACGGCAAAACTTAAAAGTTGAGGTAAAAGTCAACAATTAATTTTAACTATCTATTTTATAGAATTAATGGTGTCAAACGAGCTCATCAGTTTAGGCGGGCCGTGGTTTGAATTTGAAAAAAGTTTGAGCTTACTTGGACCTCGTTTGTATGAGCCAAGTCTCGAGCAAAGCCTCGAAAATGAGATTTGGCCTCGAGCTGCACGAGCCCAAATACGGGCAGGTCAGCATGTGGCTTGTGTGGCACACCTTGTCATTTGTTTTCTAAACCACTTGCATGATTAATTTTTTAGTTGTAAATTAATACTTTTTTGTATTCAATAACTTGCACAATTACTTTTGTAATTTTGAAATTAATTTTGTAGTTTGTAAATTGATGATCAATTTTTCGTATATTAAAGTAAAAAAGAAAAAAACTAAAAAAAGCCCATGAGCCAGATAGGCTCAAGCCAAAGCTCAGCCAAGCCCCATTTTTGGGCATGAGTCAAGCTTTAGCTTAGCTTGAGCCTTTTCTTGACGAGCCGATACCGAGCCCAGAGCCGACTCGACTCGGCTTCATTGCCATCGACGGGGCTTAGGCCCCGTTTGGCCCCCATTAATTTTGATTATAATGAGGGAATAGTGTTTTTTTTTTTTTTTACAAATGGGTGGTTGTAAAAGAATGAAAAGTTTTCGATTTACATATAATATTATTCTATTGAAGATTGTGTAGTTAAAAATAAGAGAAATAAAAATTTAATTTAATTTAATTTGATGTGATTTAATGGGAGCCAAACGGGTCTAAAACTCAATTTCTCACCACTCATTTCATAAAATCCATCACTCTTTTCTATCAAAATCAATTTTTAACCATCTCAAAACTATGTAATGGTATGTGATTATTTGTGCAATAAGTTTACACATTTTATTCCTGCTTACAATTTTTTGCAGCGAGTCTAGTAGGAAATCTATAAATAATTTTATGTTGACCGTATCATGAGTCTGTTCAGTTTTTGTTTTAACTTTAAGCCCTTTTGGGTGTACTCAAAAATTAGATTTTTATTTAAAAAAAAAAAGAATGATATGCTTGATCCCATAAAATATGTAATTAATTAATTATTTTAACTTTTATTTTTTTGGTCAAAATTTTTAGTTGCATCATAGAGGAGCTCTTTTTCATATTTCTCGGCAAAATTATGAAGGACAAGTTCTTTAAATGTCAGCCAACTAGAAGTATTTAACACTGTATATTGAAAATGATGCCTGCATAATCTTCTGCATGGTCACGTGCACATGATTGTACAAATGTTATTTACAAAAATTAATACGCCCAATCCTGTTAACCCATTTGGGCCCAAGTTCTCTTCGTACTCTAGGAATGCAGTCTTGCGCGTAAAATCTGATCCAATTAAAGATCCGAAACTGCATGCAAATTTTCACTGTTGACGTAACCATTTCCATGCAAATCTTCTCATATATATTGGTGCTCAACTCTTTTGGATCATAATCTTTTTCTCATATCAAGTGTGAAGAACTAAGAGTATAATATAATAAGACTAGGCAATTGTTTATTAGGAAAGTGTTAACCTTCTCACAAAGGGGGTCACATTGACCAAACCCAAGCGATTGTTTACTAAGAACACTAGTCTTCACAAAATTTTAAGATTATTTATGTGGGTTGACACCTATCCAATGTCAAATGGTTAAGGAAGTTGATGACAACAAGATTGAAATCTCAATGAATGATCGTCGTACCTAACATGTTATTTCGTATCAACTAAGTTGTCAATATATTTTGTCCAGTTCAATGCAAATTTCTATTAATGATATGATATTATAAAATATCAAGGTTGTAAAGGGTAATTCTCTAACCATCTTAACATAATTTCCTAGTGAGAGTAGACATAAGAGAGAGAAAAAAAAAATTAAATTAAATTAAAAATTGAGCAATTCTTGTATAATTGGTTAGCATATGACATTACAATTCAATTGGTAGATACAGCTTCATGTTAACCAAAATCCTTGGCGGGTTCCTACTTTTTGAAAAATATTGTTCATCTAAAACAGACAAGTAGCAGTCTTTTTTTCCGATGAATTTGAGGTTGGCGATTTTAATATTGTTTTGTCTCTCGTCCTACAAGTTCCTGCCCATCTCGGCGGCGTTTTCCTCCTTTTCAGTTTTATCCTTCTTGCCCATACAATGAAGAACGGTACCCTCGATCAATATTGTGCCCGATGAGAACAACGGAGTGGATTATTCTCCAAAAAATATTTCCCCAGTCCGGACTCTTTCTATTTTAGACTTTGACAGATCAATCGCGACCACAAAATGGATGCTTACAAGGACGAGAGAGACGATCCTTGTCTTCGTCTAACCTGAGTGGAGTCCCAAGTGAGCTTGCAATTGATCATAACGTATTTGTTTACTACTTGCCTAGATTTAATTCTTTGTTACATTTGTTTCTGATGAAAACGAGTCAGTTCCCGCTTCTCTGATGTAAATCTAAACTTTGATGAGTGCAGAAGCCGTCATACTCCATTAATGGAGGAATAAAGTGGAGATAAATCCATCCAATTGCTGATTAGAGTATTCTGCAGATGATTATGGTACACTCAACAAACCCTTGTTACATATATTTCTCTTCAATTCCACATTCTACAGATGATTATGGTACACTCAATTCACACACCTTTATTACATATTTTTTTCTTCAATTCTCCATTCTGCAGATGATTCTGGCACACTCAAGTCACACACCATTGTTACATATTTTCTCTTCAATTCTCAAGTTACACACCATTATTACATATAAATATATGTATGTTTTCAATCCCCTGTTCAATTATATGAGACCTATTATTGTACAGGAAAAGGCCTCATTCTTTTCTGTAGGTATACGTCAGCAATTTCAGAGGCAAATCAAGACTTAAGGACTCCAAAAGTCTTCGTTCGCCTTCCGGATCTGTTAAGATATGAGACAACAACACTATTAGATGAAATACTAAATCACAGGAAAAATAAAAAATAATAATAAAATAAAAAAAAGCAGAAAAGGCAGATGATGCACCTGGACTTCGTCAAGGTTGACTCCATTTTCCTTGAGAATCGATAAAAATCGTTCAAGGCTATCCTCAGTTAGCTTATAATGTCCACTGAAAGGTGAGATGCGCTAAAGAAAATAAAGATGTTGCATTAGATCAAAAATATTTTTTGCAAAATCACAGTTCATTTCACTTCCGTTCTTCACAGTTCAGTTGACATTTTATGAAGTCGAATTCCTTCCTTAACGCCATATGTGGCAATGGATGTTGTTGAGGCCTTTGTCACTAATGTGCCCAAATATTTGTACCACAATTGTGACTTATCTTAGGATTTGAGATAGTTGATGTAGTGAAACTTATGGTTAGTCTAGCAGACCAGCACTAAGTCTATTTTTCATAAATTAATATTTTAATACATCCATTCCTTATCTTAATATTATAGGCAAAATCACATATAGATTAATTACCTATAAAGAAAATTAGATTTCTTTGCAGATCAAGTACATGCCTTGTTTTACGCTGAGCTAAATCAATAGTTTTAGGTAATGTTAGTTTTTAGGATGGACTAAAATAAAGTTACTTTCTTCCTGACAGTAAAAACACCTATTTCATTTAGTTTGGTCCTTATTCCCTTTTTCCTATTCCAATCCATTTTATTAGAATAACCATTTTTAGGGCTACTCTTGCCTTTTGCTGGTAAGTTGTCTCAAGTGACACTCTCTCTTGTTTCACTATTGAGTTCCAACTCGTTATTTCTAAGGGCATTTCACTTGTGATTATAAACTTGTCTATGCCTCATTCAATAGCATCTTTCACTCTTTCCATTTGCTAGTAAGCTATCCACTGACACTTTCTCTTGTTTCATTCTAACTCCTTATTTCTAAGGGCATTTATAATTATGTTCATAGTCAACTTTTTTTTTACCATATTCAATAGTATTTTTCACATCCTCGTTGAATCCAACGAACCCAATACTATGATTTTGTCAACATTTATAGTTTTTGTACATTATACACTTAATAAATGCATTTATTATTTTAGTATTTGTTAATGTGCTATAAAATATTAGATGTCAAATTTACAGAATAGGCAAATTTAGTTCATGCTTGTTTGGATAAAACTTAGATTTTTAATTTATTTTGATAAAAGTTAATTAAATGTATGGTAGAAAAGTTGATAAAAAATCGTGGATCCATTAAAATGAGTAAATAAAAAATGAGTTTTAAGAAATGAGGGGTCAAAACAAGACTTGATGTGATGATCATTTAATTAAGAGATAATTTGCAACCCTTGCCCCAAATCTTTCAAATCTTTGCAACTTTTATCCTCATCTTTCATTTATTGTACCCGTGATTGTCCAAATCAAAAAATAAAAATAAATAAATAATTGATCTTTTTAATCAATTCGGTGGTTGTCTACTTCTTAAGTAAGAAAATAAATAGTGAATTTTTGAAAAATACGTAATCAAAAAGTAGGAAATTTTTGAATTTATACGTAAAAATTTTATTGTGAGAATGTATAGTTGAAAATGAGTTTGAGAAGATAAAAATAAAAATTGTAAAATAATGATAGACAAACAGGGGCTAAAATTGTCTATTCAAATTTAACATAGTATAATTGGAATAATTAAACAAGAAACAAAAAGAAATGCTTCATCACCCCACCCCCCACGCCAACCTCAACCAAATCCGCCGCCGCCACCTGCGCCAAACAAATCTACCATATAACATCTCCCCTGAAAAACGTCCGTATATGAGGAGCAGAAGCAAATACAGGAAAATATTGTGGTGGTCTTAATAGAGTTTCTTTTCAAGGAAGCTTTGTTTCATGTTCTGTACAATTCCTTTTTGCACCGCCTTCCGATATAACAGACAGAACGTGAAAATATATGACTGCAAATTTCAGAATTTGATTCCATTTGATATTTTGGGTTTCTTTTCTGGTCTTGGGATTGGGCGCAAATTTCAGAATCTGATTCCTTTTATAGGTCAGATTTAGGGTTTCTTCTTTCAGAAAACTAAATTGACGATTAATTACGTTTGACACCACATAGTTTGACACAGAATTTGGTAGATGTTCGTGCATCTATCTGTATGTTCTTTTTATCTGTATACGAATTTCAAGGTCTAGATTTTTTTTGAAGATGGAGGGACAGAGAAGAAGATGGTGATGCCAAATTTGTTTGGCGCAGGTGGTGGAGGTGGGGTTGGGGCGTGGGGTTGAAGAAGATGAAGCTTTTCTTTTATTCATTTTTTATTTTTGGGGGTTTCTTATTCAATTATTTCAACTATTTTATGTTAAATAAAAATAGACAATTCTACCCTTCACTAATTGGTAAAACAATTCAGATTATTTTTTCGGGTCAACGGATAACAATTTAGACAGATTTCATCTATTTGTTTTTTAGCAACACGCACTTGAAAGATTTGGAATCATAAGAGCTATAAATTAAACATTAGGATAAAACATGCAAATGTTTAAAAAGTTTGGACCACGAGTGTAATAAATCTAAAGACATTGACACTTCATCACATTTTCCCTGTTAAAGCACTCCTTAATGCCAATGTAATGCATTTGTAGATCAATGTTAGACATGAGACATTCTACATGTAATATCATGATTGACAATTTTGTTGACAACCATTCATTTTAAAAATTGTTTTTAAAAATCAACAGTATGAATATTGACAACACATGAATTGTCAATGAAGTTGCCAACAAAGATTGTACAAATAATTTTATTCCAAGGACATTGCGGCACACTTTAGGACATGATAATAGTATTCTACGTTTTTATCAAGAAATTAAAGAACGGGACTATCCGGAATTTACCTTAAGCACTCCAAATTCTACCAAGAGTCTCCCAGCGGTTAGAATAGCTTCTCCCGCAAGAAAACTTGAATGATGGAAAATTCCTTTCTCTTTCTGAATGGTGTTAGAACATTGATTTTTCAATGGATAAAAAAGTTTCGATGTACAACGTAGAGACTTTAAACGAACATCACGTGTGCAATTCTAGTTAGTTTGTTAGATATTACCTCTCCAATGTAGAGTTTCTTAGATGTGCTCACTACGAAGATATATTTAAATTGTGGAGATCCATGGTGAAGAGGAATTCTGGTTATACTTTGCAGTATTTTTCCATCAACAACCACGTACTCGTAACATTCTCTCTCTTGCTAATCATATTAAAGAAGAATAACAAACTAAGAAACCCTGCTTAATGTTGTATGGGTTAGAACAGAATGACATTTTAAGAAAGTCAATTTGTCTGTATACTTTAATCAAGATATCAGTACAGCAAAATAAAGTACATATTTTGCAAACTACTAGATTGCATGTTATTGATTGCACAAACAAATAATAACACGAAATAGGAAAAACAGAAACAAGAATAACACAAGATATAACGTACTTAATGTAACGAAATAATAAATAAGATTTGAGCTCCATTTTTTATCCATTAATATGTGTCAAACATGCAATAAATGTAGAAAAGAAAATCTATGGCAAAAGGTAATTCATGCAATTTTGAACGCATACTGGTCCAAAATACTTGACACATTGTTGATCGAGCTTTAATCTTGGGCACTCTTCAAGATCAACCTCTTTGCCATCTCCAAAATCCAACCTATTAAAAAGTAGATATGTTCAAATTTCAATTAATGTGTTTTTGACTTCAGATAATACGGAAGCAATTGCACGCGTTCAAAATAAAATAAATGAAAAGCTCAATCCACAAATGAGATTATCAATATATAAACACAGTGTATTTTCTTTTTTCTTTTTTGACAATATAAGTAGAGGCATAAACAAACTGATCAACTCCTTCAAGTTAGACTGCAAAAAATCTCTCAAATTGTAACTTGATACGACTCATTTGACACCACTACTTGACTGAGGACCATCTCATGTAGTTTCTATGGGAGTAGATCTCCGCTTAAGAGGTGTGCAAAGGTTTCCTCGGGCAGGACACAGATTGGCATTTTCATTATCTTTCTTTGATTACAGATCAAGATGAATTTATATCTATCTAAGTATATTTAGATAAATATCTATTAGATCGTGGCTTCATGTACCAAACATTTCTATATCACTGTGTTTTAAGGACTTCTCTCACCAAAAAATGAAATGCTGATTGGTGGAGCTTTTAAACCACTCTTCATAGTATAGTTGTAAATTGTTCCCATAACGATGCCTTGGATCAATCTGAATAACTAACACATCTAATGTTAACTCCACAAATATCATTATCAGGCTTAAGTTGAGACAATGGTAAATAATTTGTAATTGAGTGAAGACAATTGAACTAAAAAAAATAAAAAAGAAGTGATAAGCTGCCATGAGGAAGATGAGAGTGAAGTCTAGTCATCATACACCTTATTAATCTCCACGAGAATAAGCTAAACTTAAAAACTCTAATATCGGAAGAAGAAAGCAACTCACAGCTTCAATCCAGTGTTTCAAAACCAATATGTGTGCCTTGGTATCTATGGACGAACCCTTGCCTACCTGTCCATATATTTAGTTAAAGACAAATCATCAAATGCAGTGATTATCTATTGAAGCCACTGGATTGTTAATTTTCAATTATTTATATTTTCCCTTTTCTTAAAGTTTTTCGAATTTCTTTTATATAATTAATTACTAATCCAAAATCGTAATAAGAAAGAATTTTTTCATACTTTATAAGCATTCATAATGACGCGCTTCCACCACAAGGCTGCTGTCTTAGGCTTCAAGAAGTCGTCAGACGATACGGTATTGTTATTCCAGAGTACGAACCCCATTGCTATAGCCACCTTCAATTTCACCATTATAAAAATGAGAAAGTAACGAAAATTTATATAGCATAATTTTTGTATGTAATATAAACAAAATTCACAATTCTATGCTTTTGTGGATGGTAAGATAGAACTATTAATTACTCTTATTTTGATTTCTCGTGGACAGAATATTTTAGGGGAATAATATGATTACTCTTCTATGGCGGATGCCTGGATGGTGAGATTGGGATATATATATATATTTTCTCAAACCCTCTGGCGAGCTCTACCTCGCCCACATCACCTTTGGAAGCTGGGTCTGAAAAATCTAAATCAAAGGCAGCTCATAATACTGAGTTCAAAGGAATTGTATCCAAATAGATTGTTTCTAGTTTTCTTTTCCAATAAGAGGGTTATTTTCCGGTAAGCGAAGTAAGATGGTTCTGAATCTACTTTAGTGAAAATCATGGCATGAAATAGGAAACGATCGATCATTCCAGAATATATGGCTATATATAATGAAATTCTATAGTACAAAACTGAGTAACCATCGAAGATGAAGATGTCAAGTATAAATTCAACAGTAAAAGCAAGTTCAATGAAGGTAGAAGATTTCGGAAGAGAAGGCTACAGGTCAAGACTCACACGACAGTCCGATTTGAGAGAATGGATGATCAGATTGTGAATCTGTTGATGGTTTTAATTATAGAGATTTAAGCTTTTACCTTCGGAACAAACCCAGACCGACAGGCTGCAGAATTGTACCAGTTGCAGAGAGCCGTACCCAGTGAGCTTCTAGGGATATTTACGCTAGTCTCCTTCATATGGATATTAGATGGGAGGGGACAAAGTCAAATACTGTATATTAAGTTGATAAAGAAATAGCGTGAGACAAATTTTAGCCCTCGTTTGGCCCTCATTTTACTTCTCATTTTTTTCCTCTCTTATTTTCAACCACACAATCTTCCATAAAATAATATTACACGCAAATAAAAAAAATTTCATTCTTTTTCAACCACACATTTTCAAAAAAAAAAATATTATATCAACCATTAAAATTTGGAAAGAATGGGGCCAAACGGGGGCTTAGTCACTGCCCCTTTTATTAATAAGGGCATTGTCTAATAGCAATGCAAAAAGAAAGAAAGAAAGAAAGTTTTGATATATGTATGTATGTATTTCTGAAAAAAAGAAAGATATTCTTTTTATTTCTTTCACAAAAAGGATGGTAATCGAATAACCATGCAAAAGAAAGAAGTTTCTGCGTCAATTGGACCCATTCTGTATGTTCGTTTTTGACTTTGCATGGCGATATATTTTTGTTAATCAATTTTGACATAAAAGCTTGAGCAAGCAAGGTTACATCTATGTGATATCTTCAATACGACTTTCATATATAAGCTGTGTTTATTTTTTACCTATCAAAATCTTAAGTATCTTTGTACCATTTTAAATCAATTAGTGATGATGAGACTTGAATTAAGTATCTTTGTACCATGTTAAATCACTTAATATAAAAGTTTAAACTATTAATTTACACCGCAAATATATTATTTACGTATTATATTCATATCTATAAATTGGATTCATTAACAGCATATTTGTACAAATGTTCCCTGAAAACTGATAACTTAAGAAGAAAAATCTTCGTCGTTCAAAGAAATAGTGGCGTCTTAAAAATTGTATAGTGACAAGAGAAATGGGTGAAGCCTGAAAAATAAAAATATAATAATACTTTTATACGTTACATTAATATCTAACATTCCAATTAAATTTAATCTCATTTATCAACTTTTTAAGTATCGAGAGTTTGTTCGTGAAGAAGTTTGCCAATTGCATCATAGAATCTCTCGAAGAAAAAACAAAATCATTTCTCCAATTATACGGCTACATGTTACGTTGAAAGAATGATGATGTAATTATCTAATATTAAGTCCCGGTTTGGCCCCATTTTTTGAAATGAAAATGGGTGGAATAATGTTTTTTTGAAAAATGAGTGTTGAAAAAGAAAGAAGAGTTTTTGATTTACGTGTAATATTATTTTATGAAAAATTATGTGGTTAAAAATATGAGAGAAAAATGAAATGAAATTTAATGAGGCCAAAATATCACGATTTCAAAATATCACATTTAGTGCTTTGAGGACTGTGACGTACTCCTGACCCAAAGCTAAACCCTAGAAATTGTAATACCATATTAGCAAAATGCATTACCTACCCCCTCAACAAATAAAACCCCAAAGGAAATAAAAAATCATCCTACTAGAGATTAAATTAATGCGACTGGTTACTTTTAATACAATATTAGTAAGCAAAGGAAAACAAGCGTAAATCGCAAATGATTTGTTGTACACTTGTAGTCAACAGATTCTTGCAGATAGCCGATCCCAAACGAATTAGTAACCAAGTAAAAAAGAGTCCGTATATAATTCACTGACTTTTCATCATTTTGAGTTGAGTTTTTTACGTTGGAATTTGGTTTAAAATTGATCAAGTAAAATTAAGAAAAATTGATTTTGTATTAACTTCGATCAAATATTCGGATAGGTTTTGATAGTCAAATCATGTAATGAATAGATTAACTTATTTTACTCCTCGAGTAGATGATTGTAGTATATTTGAAATTTCAAAACCACTTCCAAATGAATGAGAAATTAATGTTCAAAGTTAGAAGAAAAAATCAAATTTCAGCATATAAGACTGCTGTTCGAGCGACAACATTGCGCATTGTGAGTAGCAAATCCTTGTTTCGAACACTTGAGCGTGAAACCCATGGACGGCGAGCAGCCTGAAAGGTTGCATCTCTTCATAAAACATGCTAAGTTTGGATGCACTCTAATGTTTCAGCCTTCGGAAGAGGTAGGATAAATATTGGTTTTATTTTTGAAACGGGTGTCAACAATTTATATGATGAATTTTCTTGAATTCTTTTGAAGCAGCGTATCTATTTAGAAAGGATACACCATTGCATAAAGTCAGTTATAGAAATACATGCCTGATTTTTTGAATAAAGATTCCGTTGTTAGTTTTAAAATTAAGTGCATGCCCTTTGATCTTTATGTTTGACAGAAAGAATTCTGTCTATTCATCTTGTCCATACGAACCATTTGTTTGACACAATTACGGGACTTGGATTTCAAGTAAAGTTATTTGATATTATTCTTTTCAAAATTACATGATAAATAACGTGAAAAGTGCGTTTCTTCTTTGAAATGATGAAATGATACAAATTGGAACTCTACGGCAATATCTTGTGAAATATGACAGAATTGATTAGTTTCATACGCTCGGAGAAGTTGCCATTCTTATGCATCAAGATGCTTAGCCGCCTTCGTTGCACTATATTGCACTAAAATTGAAAATCCAAAAATAACTAATCAAGAAAGAGATGAACTGGTTTTTAAATTTTTTTTAGAGAAATTTAAACAAGTTATGAATGAATAAATCAATCAAATAATATGCACAAATACAAAGAGCTATAAATAAAAGGGAAGAGATTGTGCAATTGATATAATTGTAGATGTTTAATCCAAAAGCAATGATCCATGTTTCCAATTACCATGCTCTCCATATGAGCAATGCATTTTCACTAATTTAATTAATTTATGGCACAATCAAAACCCTTACAATCTTCTGGTGGCTTATAAACAAAGAGCACTGATCGTTATAATATTGCATTTTCTGAAACCTCAATACGATCCAACCTATTGAGCATTATAAGAACCTCAATATGACTCACAAATTTGAAGATGAATGATTTTACAAATGACTCTCTAAATTTGATAAGTCAAACTCACTATCTATAATTAAATGCATTCAAAATATTTTAATTTTCAATGTACAAAAATAACAAAATATTTTAGAGAAAAGCTAGTTAAACTAAAAAATAGAGAAAAATAAATATTTTTTGGGAATATTAAAATAAGTGTTAAATATAAAGAGTTTGTTGTAGTACTTCAAAATTTTAACTCTCTAAATTTATAGAAACTCTCCAAATGATAGATATGTTCTTTAAAAATAGAGAGCCTCTTGAAGATACTCTAAGTATTAAGAGAGGAAGAGGTTAACACTTCAATGAAATAGGAATAAATGAAGTATCAATTGGTCGATGAAAAAACTTTGATAATAAAGATGAATGAAGAATCTGATTCAATCCATTAAAAATGTTTTCACAATAAATGATTTGATGATAAATAAGATGTAAAATCAATATAATTTTGTTCAAGAATAATTCACTTTAATACTACTCTCAAGAAGCCTTCAATTAATGTAAAAACTGAATGTATTTATAGAGTTCAAAGAGCAGAAATATCATCAACAAAGATCTGTATTTGAATTCCTGGGCTAAAAAGAAATAGCAAGTCAAGCACAGGTAAAACAAATTTGGTTTATGGGAATTAAAATGTGTATCATCGACTAAAAATGAAAGCGAAGGACAAAAGTGTGACATTGATTGCATACGATGATTTGTATTTATAGTTATCCCAAATTAAAATTATTTTTTTACAAAAAAGAGTACGTTGCCCTTATTATAGTTAAATAAATGAATAATTAGAAAAATGAAACAATCTCTGCCATCCAAAATTTCTTTCGCCTATGTACACCTAGAAAGTGTAATTGGCATAAAATGTCCCCACCTTTCATTTTTTGAAACTTTTGCCATTACCTTCCACCTTTCTTTGAACTGAATGTCCTTCTCATATTTTTATACCTTGGAAGCATTACTAATGAGTTGCCTACACCTCAAGGCTTTAGTTTCAGGCCTCAAGAAGTGGTCAAAGGATACAATATCGTTATTCCACTGTACAAACCCCATTGCTAGTAGAAAAGATCTTTAAAATCGTTTCAATTGTAGAGAGCCTCCTCCCTCCCAAGTGAGTCTCTTAGGAGAGTGTCATTTTTAAACCTTAGAAACAGGGTGGAGGGAAAGGGAGAGAGAGGTAAATGTGTTCTATTGTTCTTTCTTGGCATTGGCGAATCTACTCAGGGTTCTGGTGGGTCACACATACACACACACAGAGAGAGAGAGAGAGAGAGGTGTTCTACTACTTCTAGCATTGGGTCCCTACTCAGTATTCTGGGTGGTCAAGTGACACACGAACTTCGATTTTTTTTTTTTAAGAGCCAAAAATCGGAATTGTGCAGCAATGATAGTTTGACTTTTTTATTAAAATAGAATTACAGCGATGACCGAACAATTCATAGAGAGAAAAAGAGAGGTAAATGTGTTCTACTGTTCTTTCTTGACATTGGCGAATCTACTCAATGTTTTGGTGGGTCACAAAGAGAGAGAGAGAGAGAGGTGTCCCACTGTTATTGGTATTGGGGGACCTACTCAGAATTCTGGGTGGTCAAGTGACCCATGAAATTCAAATTTTTTTATTTTTATTTTTATTTTTTTAAGAGCCAAAATTCAGAATTGTGCAGTAACAGTATTTTGACTTTTTATTAAAATAGAGTTAGAGCGATGACCGAACAGTTGAAAGAGTAAAAGTTGAGATTATTTTGTCATTTGTGATATTTAATTTGAGAATTCTTTGAAAATTATTATTCATCATATATGTGAGATTATTTGGAATTTTTTGAGAATTGTTATTTATCATATGTATGAAATTTGTGAACTTATGATAGTGATACTCTTATGTGTTCTTGTACAATGTATAATTTTTTTGTAACTTTTTAATAAGTTTTATTGTGCTCCACTAACTCCAAATGTTTGCATCCGTCACTGGTTCTTAGCAAAAGAAATGTTCCTTTTATTTATTTTAGCAAGGTTACTTCTGCATTATTTAAATATTATCTTCACTACGTCCTTTGTGTTTAGG